GTTTTAAATACAACAATAAAAATATTTAAAATGTAAAATAAAACGTGTTTTTATTGAAATAATTATTTAAATTTATATTTTACATATTATAATTAATAATGTAATATTTCAGATTAAAAATAAATGTAATGTGAGATTTGAAAGAAATTATATTTGATTTAGAAATTTGAAACATTTTCAGGACAGAAAAAACTCAAAAAATACTACACATTATTGCATTCATATTTCATTTTTATGAAAAATGAGGCTGTGAGGTAGATATCTGATCAAAAGTTTGTTACATGTAATTTTCACAGTGTATTTTATATGTATGATTTTTTGTTACTAAGAATTATTTGAAACATTATATAACAATTACAAATATATTCATAATCATTATAGTAAATAATAATAATAAAGATATTAAAAATATCAGTATAATGTGAAAAACATTACAATCCCTTATAGAGACTATGCCTCCATAGCCTTGCTTTTAATTAAACAAAATATGGCATCCACAAAACATGGTATTACTTTGGTAATATGTCCCCAAAAAAATTACAATACTGTTTTTAATGTAACTAATGTTTGGCAGATGTACATTTCGATCCTTTAAAGTTCATTGAAACTTCCAACATTGAAGTTTACATCAAAATGCTACTTAACCATAATAAATAAAATGGGAACTCTGTCAAACAGTTAAAGAAGCTGTGGTAAATGTTTAAACATAGTAAACGTGTTAATCGTATTGGATCTCAAAAGGTGCAATAATTTATAAAAACTCACAGTTTACATCAATCAACCTTTATTTGTTTGATGGTTAATATTCAACATTTACAAATAAAAACTTTAGTTGCAACATTCAAAGCTATGAACTAGTTACATTTTCATATAAACACCTTTTGTACAAAATCTGTAACACAGGCTATATGGAATACTTTCATCCCATCGTATGATATAAAGTACAACTTTACAAGTTCAAAAAATTGAACAGAAAGAGTATAATCCATAAAAAGGAGGGTGAAAGGAGAGAACAGGAGAGGAGAAATACAAGCGTGACTAGAGTTGAAGTCCTACGACTTGACCATTGGCAATCTATCGAAATTACAAAACATGATTGCCGAAAATGAGCAACTCTCGTAACATGGCAATATGAGAACATAGCTGCAAAGCCGTTAATAAAATAGGTAACAAACGAATCGGTTACGGTGCCCATCTGTCAGTATTTCATAATCATTCCAACGTTAGTTCAATTCCTCACACTTCAAACGTTTTAAGTTGCCAAAAATACAGCACTTTGAACTTTGTACTTATCTACAAAAATACAATAAAATCACAGGGGATATTTTTGCCAAGAACAATTTTTATCAAGTACAGACCATTTCAATTGTCTACACATGATCAAAAATGTAAACTGACAGCCCAGATTCACAAAGGCTGCTGCGTGTTTTGAAGTTGCATTTTAACGACTAAATTTATCAAATATTTATTAAAAGAATTGTGGGCTTTCAAGCTGGCAGTGAAAAAGCTGTTTGTTACTATCAATTTTACGTCAAAATGTGGCTAGTTTTCTTTCGTAGGAAGATATGTAGCAACACACTCGCATGGCAATTTCTAACCATTTTACGTTTTGACAAATCGTTGGCTAATGATCTCATTTGAACGTTTTCGTATGATTTGTTTACACCCAGTGACGGTTATGTTTAAGGGTGGACCTTCATGCTTACATTTTACGAAAATCATAAGTTTTCGTAAGATTCACATCATATGAATTCCAACGAAATCGCCACCTCGTAATATAGTTACGTTTTCCTGTCAGATCAAGTCGGTATATTCTGATCATGTTGGCTTGAAAAATGAATGTTTTAATGTGTTTAGTATGTTTCCATGATAAAAACTACACATAAAATGAGAAAATACTTTTTTTTAATGAAAATGCAATGTAAAAAAAATAATAATTTTTTTTTTTTTTTTAGAAGAAAACAAATACTGAAACAATATGAAAGGTAAAACAATATAAGTGAACATCAATTCCACACAGCATTTCCTAAACTTTGTGTTTATCATCTACAACCTAGAGTCCAAATAAGATCCCAAATTGAATTTCTGACCATTATTCGAAAAGTTCTGTCAGATTTAACATTTAAAGGAGAAAGAAAAACAGATTTGATCTAGCCAATATTGTTTGGAAGTGACTGCGGCGACATAACCTGATTTGGGATCAAGCTGTTGGGAAAAGTCATCTCAGAACTAGATGATGTTTGTTTCTATCACTCTCTGGAAACTACAACCGTTATATTGCTTTGTACTGCTCATGCCCCATGCAGTCTTGATCTACGCCTCTGCACACGGTTTAAGAAGCACATTGTTGAGCACTAGAGGCCACGCTAACTTCAGTTAAGCTTTCCTAACTACTCTCACTGACAAAGAAGTTAATACTGTTTGCATCTTTGGCACAATACTCGGAGACCACACAATTTCATCACATTGGCACATTTAAACGGTCAGGCAGTTTCGGTAGATACAAGGGCTACAT